CATCACGTGTCCTATGTTATACAGTAGGAGCGCATGGTGAGAGGAAGCACGTGCTCGTGGCCTGATTCTGTTCTCTCCAGGGACAAGGTTGTGGCTAGCACTCACACACATATGCACACACACCCACATGCACACACACACAGACAAACACAGACACACACACACACATTACTGAAATACACACTGTGCCTGGTATGCATAGAAAAATACACTGCCTTATCCACCAATACACAACGACTCACATGTGGCCTCAATGTGCACCAACGTATGTACCCACACTCACATACCCACAGACACACACAGACATGCCTGCCTGCCAAGGGACACTAATGAAGATAAAGTAGCTAATTAAACATGACAGTGGGGAGCGATGGGCAACAATGGCATGTGACGTTATGGGGTCGTCTTTGCACCTATAGACATCGGCCAATATGTGATACTGTGTTAATGAGAGGTGGATGGACGGGAGGAGAAATATGTATCAAAATGTATTATCATGTAGAATAGATTTGTGGCCCATTCCATCACCCCCAGAGTGTTTAAGATTCCCTGAGGTGTACTTTTTTTTATAGATATACACACACACACACGTACACACACATCACACACATACATCGCTGGCCTAGATCTACGCAGACGTATGATTCCTCCAGGTACAGCACATGCTGTGTGAAATCTAAAGAGAAATGAATCCACACACAGAAAGTGTACACTCACTTAACCTATTTTTTTCTACATGTGTCTTGATGTTATTATCTGTTTCTCTCAGCTCCTCGGACTGACCTTGTGTTGTACTTTCATATGAGCAAAGGATGAAATGAGTTAAAAGTTACAGTGCAGAGTTAAAATTTAAAATCTTATTAAAGCTGTTTAATGAAAGGCAGCTGTAAACAGGTGTGTCTTCAACCTCCATTTTAAAAGAGCTGAGAGTTTCAGCAGACCTGCAGTTTTCTGGGAGTTTGTTCCAGATATAGAGAGCATAGAAATTGAACGCTGCTTCTCCATGTTTGGTTCAGACTCTGGGGACAGAGAGCAGACCTGTCCCAGACAACCTGTGATCTGGATGGTTCATAATTAATCAGAAGGTCACTCATGTATTTTGGCCCTAAACCTTTAAGTGCTTTATAAACCAGCTGCAGGATTTTAAAGTCTATTCTCTGACAGACTGGGAGCCAGTGTAAGGACCTCAGAACTGGACTGATGTGATCCATTTTCTTGGTCTTGGTGAGGACTCTAGCAGCAGCATTCTGGATCAGCTGCAGTTGTCTGACTGATGTTTTAGACAGACCTGTAACGACACTGTTGCAGTAATCAAGATGACTGAAGATAAAAGCATGGACAAGTTTTTCCAGGTCCTGCTGGGACATAAATCCTCTAATTCTTGATATGTTCTTCAGGTGATAGTAGGCTGACTTTGTAATTGTCTTAACATGGCTTTTAAAATTGAGGTCTTGTAACATGAAAGGAGCAGACCAACGAGAATTCATCACGTGAAGTTTGATTAGAATCTTTACTCTGCTCTATCACCAAAACTATGGATTAAATCTCTGTGAACCATGAATATCCCGATCCTTATTCAAGAAAATAAGGATATTCAATTTCAAGACACCATGTCATGAAGCAGAGTTTGTGTGGATTTTGGTCTGATAAATAACAGGTCGTAAGGTCAGCAGAAACATTAGGTATCATTCACACTTTTGTTGAAGTTTACTGAAAACCCAACTTGTCTTACAGTTGGCTCAATCAAAACAATGACAATAGATGATGTCAAGGCTTTATTTAGATATTTGAGTGTAGAATTCTGCATATTGTATGTTTAAGAAACAAACACTATCAGGGAAAAAATTAAGCCAATCAAACGTCAATTTGGACTGTTCTGTTAGCTGAAATTGCCTTGGATCTGTTTTAGACAGAATTCACCACAAACCTTTCAGGAAGAATAATAATCTAAAAAAAAAAAGAGTCAGTAGTAGTCCTGAAACATTTAAAGTAAATGTGAATATACAAACAAAACAAATTGTCAATGGTGTGTGTGTGTGTGTGTGTGTGTGTGTGTGTGTGTGTGTGTGTGTGTGTGTGTGTGTGTGTGTGTGTGTGTGTGTGTGTGTGTGTGTGTGTGTGTGTGTGTGTGTGTGTGTGTGTGTGTGTGTGTGTGTGTGTGTGTGTGTGTGTGTGTGTGTGTGTGTGTACAGAGCACAGACTATATAGAGCACAGACTCGAAGGAATGACAACAACAGATAGAGAGGATTCCTGTGGAGTGTGTTGGCTATTTGAAACTGTAAAATTGACAGTTTTCTTCTAATGTCATATATGTACGCACAAACAAGCACACTGGAACATACACAGACTCTTTGACTCTGGGGAAGAGCATACAGTAAGGGGGAGAAAGGCGTCACAGCTGTGCAGAAGCTTGGCGATGATGCATCTCGGCAGATTTCACTCTTCAGTTCTCTTTATAGAAAAATACACATTGTGAGCAGGTGCAGCTATATGTGTTGCACGTTTCTTTTCAAAAGCCGATATTTAGGATTCATGCACCTTAAATTGCATTTGGTCTTGGAAATAATAATTTTTTTGACCTCGTTCTTAGATTCCAAATTCTGAATTTTCTTCGTCCACAAAAAAACATTAAAGGAAAATGGAAGTTATTGTGTTATACCAACACAATAACTGGACAATAAATGGATTGGATTCTAAGAATAACAACATTTTGGACTTAGATAGGAAACTAGGCGCAAACAATATTACTCTTTACCCCTAAACTTGCCACATGTTACTGAAGGAAATCTCTTTAGGGGACACTAGAGAGCTTAGGCCGTTTGCAAATACCTTATGTGCAGGATGTAAATTACAAAAATGGTGACACTCCAGGAGGTTACTATTATGTTATTTCTGAGGTCAGAACTAACATAATTTTGATGTCAATTATCATTAAATAAGTCACCTCAGCTCATTTAACCAATGGAGATTGACAGAGCACAAGCGCAACTATGGCACAGTCCCAACAATGTATCTCCAACATTTCCCTCGATGGTTTAACAGTCTGTTTAGTATTCCCAAGTTGGCGTTTATAATGGAACTTGTTAGTCCCTAGCTAGTTTGACATGAACGTTTAACGACAAACACAAGTGCATTGGCAATGACATGGTATAGATCAGGATAACTATCGACTTTGTCCATCAGCTTGTCTCCAAACATTCTGCCATTGTTGGCCCTGCTGCGTTGAACTGTAACATCCCCCTTTGTCTCTTCACTGCGCATCCTGCGACTGGGTTTTGCTAATTTTGGATGACATGCACAGATGTGAGAGACATGAGGCAGCCATAATGAATGTATGCACAGTAAGGCGAATATATCACCCTCCTAATGATTAAGATTTTCCCTTAAAAAGCAATTTATATAGTGATGACAAATAAAAACACTTTTACCATAAAGATCTCTTTCTCATTGAACAACAGTGGAACAAGAGTCTTTTCCTAGAGGTGTTATAAATAGCAAGACCGATTAATCGACCAGCCAATAATATCAGATCCATTGACGTATCGGCTAATTTTATCGTGCGCTGTATGGATTACAACAAACATTATCCTCCAGAGTGTCAAGCAGTGACGCATGCACATGTGCAGTTACTTTCCAGTTGAGTGAACATCTTTTCTTCAACACAATGTATATCTTTTTCACAATAAATTGATCCACATTTGAACATTCAAAGATTTAAATGTACATATATATATATATATATATATATATATGTATGTATCTATCTATCTATCTCTACAGATCAAACATAGATCTAAGAAAGATATCAACCAATATATCGGTATTGGATTATTTTTTCTCCCAAATATCGATATCGGTATCAACCCCAAAAATATGGCTCTAGTAATAAAAATAATAAAAACACAGCTAATTTTCCCTGTTTCATGTTTGACCTCTACTTGAGCGTAGAGGATATTCTTTATAAGGTTGTGCTTTGCCTGTTGGCCTCATGCACATTCACCACCATCAACACACAAAGAGACGGAAAGAATACAAATTCCTTCTAACAGAAAAACACTGCAAATAACTTCACATTCACGTCTGTAATTGGGGTCCAAAAATGACGAAAAAAATCAGCCTTGCATGTTTTATGAGGAAATATTTAACACAATTTCAAATATCAGTGAATGTAAGAAGAATCTTCGGTTTGCTAACAAAATAATCACCTCCAAGACATTTAATTCTAAAATCTTTGTTTTCAGTGTCAATAGCAGCCTGAACCGAGATGACGCGTCGATTTGTCTCTGTCACACCACTAAGACTATTTAGCTTGAGTATATTTATTTGTGTTCACAGTAATAAGCTAAGCACATGCTTCTTTTAGCTACAAGCATCACTCCAAAGCATCCGGTTCCAGCTCCCCGCTCTTTTTTTTTTCTTCTCTCTGTGACATAGCTGTTTGCAGAATGATGCAAACAGTGTGCATTTTAATAAATATAGCCAAGCGCTGTGCTATTTATAGAAGCCCCTGTCATGCTCTTTACCTAAGTCAGGGCCTGTTGCATGGTGGGAGAGGAGATGGGTCGGAGGTGGGGCGCTTCAGGATACTGTGACCCAGATGACTGAGCTGGAATGATCAGCCTGGCGGCGCTCAGCGTGCTGCCGTACTAATGCTCCCGCAGGAACATAATGACACAAGATGCATGTCTCATCTGCCTTTGTTCTGCAGGGAGAGCGACGGTTTGGAGGGTTCAGGGATGTAAATTATTGTTTGAACTAACAGCTTCTGGGACATTTCCAGTGAGCATTTAAACATGGAATAGTTGTAACGTCGGAAAAAAGGGACACATGGGGATGCTTGGTTCTCTTTTTGCTACATAAACCAGAGTTTGTTGTATATATGATGATGTGTTCGATGCCATTTAACAACCCAACTGCCTTTGATAATTGTGTTGTGTGAGTATTTTCTTTATCAAACCATTTTAACCATGCCGCTGTTTTCTTTTTCTGACTCTCATAGGATATCACGTTTCAAACTCCATGGTGGATGAGGGGGCGAGGTGGGAGAGTCGTCACCTACTACAAGAAGTCTATGACAACGAATCCAAGCTCTACGTTGAGCCTGAAAAAAACTGTACCGAACCAGGTAAGAAGAGCTAGAATGCTTTTTTAAAACTAAATATAAGGGAAAACACATCACAGGAACAAGTTCGGATGGTTTGAAGTAACCCCATGTGTGGGTTTTTTGAAAGAAATGAGGAGGAATTCATCCTTGAATCTCCAAATGCAAACACTGGTGTGAGAACAAATGACGTCAGAAGGCTCTCATCGCTGTATGATACATACTGAAGTGTGCTTTTGTGAAGTTTCACATCTCTTTTGTGGCCAAAACTCAAGAGTCGATATTAAAACTGTATTCCAATCTGCATGATTAGCTACTGTATGTGTGGATATAATTTATCTTATCTTATTTAGCTCTCTGTTCACACTGAAGTGACAGCGTTTATTTTAGCCTGTGTCACTCAGCGGCTCAAACATGCTTCATCTATGTTTCAGATGGTTCCCTCCCTCTTCAACCATCAGCCCTGCCCACTCAGGGGTGCTGTTTATAAAGGCATAATGGCAAAGTGTCATTGCAGGAGTATAACCAAACATAAACCAAGACCAAGACTCAGGGAATATTGTTTTGGTCTGAGAGTCAGGTGTCTAAGAGGAGTGTGACATTTACTGGATTGAAAGTTGCACATTATACCTTTTAGACTTGGAGATATGTTGCTAAGTGAATGCATATTGTTTGAAATAATATGCTCATGAAATCTAAATGACATTTTACTCAGCCTCATAATTTGTGGTGTTCCTCTAGGAAGCGTACTGGTACCACTAATTATGTTATTTTAGAAGTTCCCTGATACATTGTGCTGTTAATAATCAGAAATGTTAGCACTCAAATAAATGAAAGAATTGTTTACTTGATAAATAGTTAGCTGTCAAATGATGAATTATTTGGCTATCACTACATGCTTATTTTCTTAGTAACCCACTACCCAGGAGTCTACTCTAATTCATTTTCATTATGGTAGAATTCTCATTTTTTACATGTGTCTGGTTCTTGAATTTTTAGGGTAAGGTAAGGATCCTGTGGGGATCTCTGACACCCCACTCTCACTTCACCTTTGCACACATACACCCCACTCTCATGGCTCAGGAGATCTGGCAACAGAGGAGCTGAGCTGAAGATGAAAAATGAACAGCGATCCCTCTGGTGAGGAGAGAGAGGGAAAGTGAGGGGGAAGTTGACATGACGATGAAAGCTGATGAAAAAACACAAAGTTTCTCCCAGGTATAAATTCTCTCTGCTCCTCTCGAGCCTGAGAGCTGCCAGCATCACTGTGTGTGAGTGTATCCCTGTGTGTCTACTCCTCTGTGTGTACCAAAAGCTCTCATGCCGTATGTTTGTTTTCTCTGTGGGCTCGTCTGTGTGAGTGTGCATGTGTGTTTTTGTGTGTTTTTTCCCTGTGGCTCGGAGTGCATGAGTGTTTTCCATGTGGAATCCTGGGGCTTTACAAGCCTGACGTCCTGCCAAGCATTCTCTTGATCTCATTGTAAACAAACCACCCCCATCTAATACACGCATGCACACACATGTACATTTGTGCACACATGTGCTCCACCTGCCTGCAGTTTGAAAATGCAAAGATCCTGCAGTCAGACTGTATCAGTCGGATGAGTTGTATTGAGACAGCACATAGTTTACAGCCGGTTTCTGTTTAATTATGTGTTTGTCTCCTGAAACACTATTTACCCTAAAAGGGATTATTCTTGCTTTCTTGTACTAAAAGGGGCCTTAATAACTTACTCCTCACGCCTCGTTCACTATCTCTCTGCCTCTGTTGTCCTTCATCTGTTTAGCTCTTTTGTTCCCCTAGAGAGCTTGCTGTCTTCTGCTTTTATTATTGTGTTTTCTTTCTCTCGTTCTCTCTCTCTCTCTCTCTCTCTCTCTCTCTCTCTCTCTCTCCCTCCCTCCCCTGGGTCTCTTTCATGTGGAGATACAATCACCAGTTCAATTTCAAATCACAGAGCATCCCCGTCGTGCACAAAGTCAGAAAAGTGTCTGCACACACATAGCACTATAAACAGACAAACACTGAGTAGACTGTATGTATGTTTGCATGCTGCTGATTTGGTAAAATGTGTATGCAGTTCTCTATGTAAGCAGATGTTTAATCTCATGTGTTGTTCATTGCTCTCAAAAAAGTGAGGATTTCAGGCATGGTGGTTAATTGGATTTGTTCTGTTTGCTTAACTTTCTGCAAGATTAGACCCAAAACCAAATGGCAATGTCTCAAAATAAAAAGATTAGCTTTGGCTTGTGTTAGGTTGACTCTCTTGATAAACAAGTCACTTTTTAATCATCTTTTGCAAAGAAAAAAAATCTAAAGAGGAGTGGATTGGATAATGTTAGACATACAGTTTTTTCCAGTTCATTTTTAAGCGAGAAAATGACTGTTCAAGGGGGATGAGGGGAGTTAAATATTTGCTGTACTTGCTCAGGATCCCTCCATGGGGGATAAACTATTGCAGTTTTTATGTTAGCTTTCCCTGCAACAGTTTTTTGGAAAATGGCTTTGGTCCTATTTTTAGTGGCTTTCACTTGACAGCCTCGCTGCAAATACGCAACAATTAAGTTTTAACACGTGATGGCACATTCCCCAAAATAACGTTGCTCCTTCTGCTGTCAGCTCGGGCCAGCTGGGGTCTGTGACACTTCCTCAAGTGAACAAATCAATTGAACTGTAGAGCTGGATTCAGCCTCTTAGCAATGTTCTTTGATGGAGGTATATGCCTCACACTCCAGATTTATGTGAAGAGTTTATCATCACCATTTTGGGTCAGATAAGATATTAAATATGGTGAGGGACTTTTGCGTCTGATGGGTAGATTGTTTGGGAGAAGTAGGTTCAACATGTCTTTGTTTTTCTAATACTTCCCTGCCTTTCACAAGAACTTAAATGGGATTTTTGTTTTCATAATTAGGGTCTAAATGAATATCAAGCACAAACAATTATGGTTATGGTCCAATAATTTGCTTCAGCATGTATCCAATCAAGGTTTGTCTAATACAAGTGCTTTTTTTTCTCACTGACAGGCTCAGATTGTTAGTCTAGGTGTCTGACACCATTATGGAAATGATTGCTATAATCATTGCTGTACAGAGATAGGACCAATCGTCCCTTGACAACGTTAGTTATTTGTGTAATTATTTGATTTTTGTGATTTTCAATGGTTATCTCCTGAACACAATATCACAAACAAAACAATGCAGGGTACATTCCCCAAGATAATTAAGCCGATTGTGCCTGTTGTCTGCATGTTTGACTGCAAGATTTTGAGTTCTGCTTGACTATGAATGGATTTTGTTAGTGCCTGGTACGCTGTTTTAGTCATATTGCCGCTCACTTAATCTATCTCAAATTTCCTGGTTTGGATAACTTACATTTTTAACATCTGTTCAGATTTTACAAAAACATGGGCCAGACGTAACAGGTAGACCAACACCTTCTGTGTTCAAACCTTTACTTGTCTAACCTCTGCATTGTCAGTAGTACAGATGTTAGGGCAGTGGCTAAAAGACCAAGAAAGACTTTGACAGTGGAATCCATAGAGTGGCTGAGCAATAGGCCAGACAGGAATATATCCCAACAATGCTTAAAAAAACCTGAGTTACAAGCATTTTTTTCAGATTTGACCTGTCAGTTACTTTGATATAAATGCCACATTTCCCCAGTTTAAATTATTGTCTTGGGGTGGCGTTATGCCAAATCAATAGCCATAGTTAATCAGTTATGATATAGGACAGAATGGAAGCCACTTCTTACATTGGAGATAATTAAGTAAGTGATTGTTTTTCTACTCATTCATTTGCTACAGTATGTGGTTACATTTATTCCCCAAACCCATGTTTAAACACTTAAACCTATCCTGATTGGTTAGATTAAGACAACTAAGAGGACATCCCAGGTACTTGTAGTATTTGATTGACAGGTGAAGGGCTGCACAAAGAAACAGCAGCACTGACTGCTAAACACAACAAAAAGCAAGTTGAAGATTTAAGCAGATTGTTTAATTGATGTGTCAAAGTTAGGATACTTCTTTAAATTGTACCTGCTTTGATCACCTGTGCAGTGGAACATTAACACTGACAGCTTTCCCCACCGCGTCTGAGACACATTCAGCGTCTGGGCTTAAACTGCCTCTCAGTGTTCACAGCTGCAGACAGAGCTGAGAAAAGTCTCCTCTAATCCATCAAAAGACATGTTTGTATGCATTCCTATGGCGCTGACTGTCTCTGCAGCACTCTGCTTGTGTTGTAATTGGTCAGATCAATGGCACTTACTTCCCCCTCTGATCTCGGCACACACCGAATACAGACGGCACAAACGTATCCATACCCCCAAAAATCAGAGGATAACAAATGTACACAGACAGGCTGTGAAAGGCGTATAGACACTGGAGGCCATTCATAAGCAAACACACATACATTGTTTTTGTTTGTCTTTCTGGCTCATGTTTGGCATTGCTGCAACTTTTTTTTGGGGCATTTTCCATCCTTCTAAGGTCACACATACACATACACACACACACTTGCAAACACACACATGTACACACACTCCCATCCTGCTATGATTACGCATTATAGCAGTGGAGTGTGTTGGATTAGAGATAATCATGTTTACAATAGCCGACTTTCTCCTCTCCGCTCATGCACCGCAAACAACAACCTCTGCCTCATTACAATGTGTGTATTTATTTTCAGTTGGAGTGTGTGTGTGTGTGTGTGCACGGTGGAAGCAGTGACCTCGGCCCCGTCGTTTTCCTCCGTGACTCATATCTCTTCTCATTTTGTTCAATCTCACCTCATCATAAAAAGCAGGGCAGGAAGATGTAGGCATCTGTGAACGTGTTCCTGCCTTAGCATTTACACTGTCACTCATTTACATCCATCAAATGTTAATCAACCATTAATAATGACTCGTTACAGTGTAATTAGACTCATGTTACACTAATGACAATACTTTAAAGTGCTAAACTCTTGTTTTTCTCTCTTCATTGTGCTAGTTTCATTTATTACAATAGGTATTTATAACG